AGTATGCAACCATATTTATTTACAAAATTTTGGACTATATAATTATTGGAATATATGATCATTATGTAAAAATATTGCAAAATTATTTTTAAATTTCTACAAATATTAAATACAAAACTACCAACAATAACTAATTTAGAAATGTTAATTCGGACTAATATTAAATTACTGTTCGCTACTTTTTCTTGATCACTTGAGCGTATAAGTAAATAATAAATTCTTTTATAATCACAAAAAAATATATGTCGTAATTGCTCTAACTTTATTTCAAATCTGATATTTTCAAATTAATTCACAATTTTTCGGAAATCTTGTGATTTTAAATTTTAATTAACATATTTTTCATTCAATATAATAATTATTTATTTTCAATTACACGTTTGAAACATCCATGCACACTTTTACATATTGAAATATTGTCAAGCATAATATTAGTATTGTATTCTACCCAATATATTCCAGACTTCTAAATGCATTTATATGTACAATATCACATTATATATCTTTATTTTAAAACACAAGCAAAAAAATATCATATATATCATATATATATCATATATATATATCATATATATCATGTATATATCATAATGTCATGTATATATCATATATATGTCATATATATCACATATATATCATATATATCACATATATATCATATATATATTACGTAGAAGTACTTACTCTAATTTTTGTACAAACACTTTTTTTTTTCTTTTTTAAAATTTTTCTGATTTATCGAATGAATAATGCATTTTAAGAGAATAAAAATGAAAAAATTAAAAAATTAAAAATGCTTTTATTTTTGTATACTATGGTAACATGATGTATTTTTGGGTCAAAAATTTGAACTGATAAAATAATTATTCTACTTACTACTTCTACTCAAAAATATACGTGGAAAAAAATCTATATATAAGGTAGATATATGTGTGTTGGGGGGTTCAAAATAAATTTGGAAAAAAAATATTAAGTAAAAAACACAAAAATTTATTAAAAAATGAAAAAAAAAAAATTATTACTTATTTTGTTGTTGCTTTTATTGTTATTTATTTTTCTAGCAACAAAAACATAAAAGTAGCAATTTAATATTATGTATCCATTAGCGTATAGATAAATCTTCTTATAAAGTACACCTACCCATTCATACATGTGCATTACATACGTACAAACATACTTACAGTTTGTGTATATATACGTAACAAGTATGTGCAACTGATTGACTGTATAAACGTAGGAAGTTTTATTTGGTAACAATTCTTTTATATTTTTATTTTTAAAAAACTCTTATTTATACATTTATGTTATGTGTAAATATGAAAAGGTGTAAAATGAAAAATTATGATAAAATAAAAGAATTTTTTTTTTCTGTATAGTTCAAAAATAAAATTATTTTTGAAAAGCCTTGGCGTGAGTCAAAACTAATAATAGCCCGTATATAAAATATTTATGAAAAAAAAATATTTTTATTCAAATTTGATTGTTGATAAGTCAAGGATATTTCATTGAAAATTAAAAACATAAAGAAAATTTCTTTTTCGATTTTCTTAAATTTTCTTGTAATTTACAGCAAAAAAAAAAACATAAATTTTTTATGGGTGTTTTCTCCTCTACTTCTGATCCGAATATATTTTATCAAAATGTACTAGTTTTAATTTAATTAATTATTTTTAAAATTTTTTTATTACATACATACATAAGTATATTTAATGTATGTATTGAGCAATTTATTGTTAATTAGACGTAAAATTAAAATTTTAACCTTGTATTAAAAAAATGAAAAAATTTATTTGTTACCTTGTAAAATTCTCATTTTTCCAATTGATCCTATAAATACGAGTATATGGGAAAAACTTAATGATGCAGAAAGAAAATATGATCATATATACATACGAATATATAAATTACAAAAAATACATTGAAAGAAAATATTGTGGTTTCTAAGAGATTTAAAGGGAAAAATTTATTATTGTGGTTATGTTTTGTAAAATTCATTTATAAATTCATGTATAAATACAAAAATAAATAAGATATTTAAGTGCATTCACTTTTAGAGCACTTATGTAAAATATTGATATGATTTTGAAAGAAATCGAAAGTATATATTTTAAAATTTAAATTTCAATTAATTTTCTATTGGATCATAATAGTAAGAACATTATAATGTTATATTTATAGATGGACTTTCAAGATTTCTTATTTAAAATCACAAATTAATTCACATAATTTAAAATACATAAGTTTTTCGAATTAATTATTAAAAGTGGTACACACAAAGAATTTTGATTTTTTAATTAAAATATAGAACCATAATTTAAATACAATAAAATTAATATGTTGCCGAAATATAAAAATAATTAATCTAAATTCACTCTTCATTTATTCGACACAAACAGAAATTTTAATTCTGTACTCCTTAACATTTTCTTCTGTTCTGTTATTCTGCTTTTTCTCCGTTACAAATAAGTATTTGCATAAATATTATCATATACGATAAAATTATAATTACTTAGTCAATTATCAATTTTAATTGAAGGTTATTCACTGTTTTCTGGTGTGTGATTGTAGTAAAAGAGTATTTAAGAATGCCGGTTACCATTAATATACAGACAAACTTCCTGTATGTCATGTCATTCTTTTCACAATTCACAAATATTTCTTTTTGATATTGTGAATAATATTCTTACAACTTGTTTTCGTATTGTCTTAGAGATATTCGAATATTATTTAGACAGTACGCAAAATAAATCATATACAAACGTTTTTATAATATAATCAAATAATAAAACAAAAAGGACATGGTTAAAATAAATTTTAAATTAATTTTATTCCATTTTGAATTTTAATTAATTAAAAGAAAAATTTATTATTGTTCTAATTTAATTTAATAATATCTAAATTTTCCAAATTCTTGCAATTCTCTTCTATTTATTATAAACTAAAAATTTTTATACATATAAAAGCAAATTAATGGAAAATTTCTTGAAAATGTTTAATACTATTAAAATTATAATATTACAATTTATTTTAAAAATAATAAAATTGTTTAAATTTAATAAAAATTATAAAATCATTAAAAAATCACAGGTGTGTAAATATTATTTTTCCCCCCAATTGTTCATTGATGATATTTCACCTTTTCACGTCAAATATTTCATATATTTCGTCATATTTAAATTGTCTGTATATATACGAGTATATATTAAAAGTAACACTCATTTCCAAATCAAATCACAAAAATAAATATTTTATATTAAGCCCGGAAAAATTCATTATGTATCATGCCCCGATTTCCCTCTACATTTTCATTTATTTTTTGAACAAATATTATTTTTCAATATTTTAGAACTATGTTATTTAATTATTATTAAGAATTGTTTATTTCCAATTTTCTTAAATTTTTATCTTGAAATTTACATGTAATTTTAATTTATAAAACAAATATTTTTTGTTATCATAATTTTCAATCAAATGATAAAAGATTTAAGTGATGCCGTTTGAAATAATAAGAATATAGTATAAATTCTAGAGAAATTAGAGTAATCTAAAATGTTTCTGATGTATGTATATCACTATAAATTGATGTTGTACTAAGTATAAATGAAACGTGCCTTTAAAATTATTCCAAATAAGCAATTTTACATTGCAGGAATTCAATAGTAATTATATTAACGAAATCCAAATGACAATTATGCTTTTTATTCCTGTCATTTGAATTTTATTAATTCAACAATCGTAATTAATAATATTTCTCAACTACTTATATATAACATAATAAATTCAATTAAAATATGTAGGTTATTTTAAATTGAATTTTAAACAAGATTTTTAATAATATTAATGAATTCAATATGTCATTCGAATTCACAATAATTTATTAAGCGGCATCTATTATGCATTTATTATACTATATTAAAAACGAAGATTAGAGGAACATTTATTTACAGTGCAGTTAGGTATATGTATGTAGTATATATGCTGCAATTATTGCAATAATAAAATGTCAAAATTCAAAATTTATAATATTAAAAATGTTAACTTAAATTTCTATTTCTATATTTGTACATTTTGGGGTTAACCTTGACTTTGACTTTTAAATTGTAATGCCGCCTGAGAACATTATGAATGATTTTTGAATGATTGAATAAATTTATCAGGGATTCCGTTATAGTTATCTTATTCTCTTGTTTTCTTGTATTTTCTTATGAAATTTTAAAAATTTTTCATAATAACTCACAATATCAAAATTTATTTCATTTTATTCTTATTGTGAACATCTTCATCTTTTGTTAATTATTACTGCAGCTTTGTATAAAGGTATATGTGCCTATAAATAAAAATAAATTAATTAATTAAAAAAAAATAAAAAGAAATTCAAAAAAGAAAAGTCATTGATATTTTTCATATATACATATATGCAATTAGGTATATCAAACTGTATTGTATGTAAATATGTGAAGAAAAAATAAAATAATATATAAGTATGTATATATATAGCTAACTAGCTCTGGAAACCTTAAAAAGTCGTACTTTTCATTGCTATGCCACCATGCAATGAATAAAATTAAAAAAAAATATTGTAAAATACAAGTGAAAAAAAAGCAATTGCTCGAGAGATAATACAATAAAATTGTTTTTATTTTTTGTTTTTATTATTTTTTCTTAATAAATATTTTAATTCCTTTTGTTTTCTTATATAAAATTTATTAAAATCTTATAATTTTTTTCTTATATATGCATTAATTATATTTAAATAAAACTAAATATTTTTTTTTATATTAAAATTAATATTTATTAATTTTTCTTTTCTCTCTCATTTTTTTCTTATTTTATTTTCATAACATATTGTGTGACTCCTTTGACAACGATAATATGGTGCATCAACTCTCAAACATAAATATTACAAAAAAAAAAATTTATTTACATTTTCTTTTTATTATTTTGCTATAATTTTTTTTTTTTTTTGCAAAATTTACTATTATTTATTATTCATTAAATAGCTATCAGAGATGACAGTTGATTTAGCTGAAGAAAGATCTGCATCAAATATTGCTAGTGAACGTTTAGAAGCTGAAACAGCTGAACGTCTTAAATTGGAAAAAGAATTACAAGAATCATTATCAAAAGTAAAAAATTTACAAGAGCAATCAGAGAAATTAGAAATGGAATTAATATGTGCCAAATCCGATTTAAATGGTATTTCTGAAGATGAAGATGGTGATGGTGAAGATTCTGGTGGTGTATACAAATTAAAATATGAACGTGTTGCTAGAGAATTAGAATTTACAAAACGTAGATTACAAACACAACATGAACATGATTTAGAACAATTGATTGCATTAAAAAAACAATTAGAAAAGAAGGTAAGTTCTAAAATTATAAAAATTTTAATTGTATATTTATTTCAATTATAAATTAAAATAATATACGTATGTATAACAGTATAATTCTAGAAAATTTTTTGATAATTTTATACAATAACAAAAAATTGCACTTACATGCACACACAAGTTTTATATTTTAATTGATTTAACTAGTAAACTATTATATTTGTGATAGCAAAAATTTTGAATGACTAAATTGATAAAAGTAATAAAAATTAATAAAAGTATATAGTGCATTTATTTTAATAATAATATTGTGTACATGTGTATGTATGTGTTTATATACTCTGTACATCTAATACATGAGAAATATTGTACAAGCTTTTTACTTTTCTCTACTTTTTAATTTTATTATAGTGTAGTATTGCTCACTTGTCACTTACTCACATGTATTTCAACGTTTAAACTTTATTGTTTTTATTATACTCTTTTAAGTTGTTCTGATGGTCATTCTTAATTGCTCTATATCTACATAATGTACACATTATCACTGTATTATAATTCTCGATATTCGATACTCGAAGTAAGATTCTTGCCTTCCTACAATCTATAATAATTATTTTGCAATATGTATAACAGTTTATGACAATATTGATAATTATTATTTCAATGCCTGCACTTACACTGCTATTGCCCTTCTGAAACGGAAGTATAATTTTGTGTTGTTACTTAAAATAAAATTTCTATCAAAATACCTTATAAAGAATTAAACTCTTTGAGTGAAAAAATTACCCGGTATTCTAATGTAATCTTAATAACGTCACATTGTTGAATGTCAATTTGTTTGCGCTGTTAAAAGTCATATGAATACTTGTTATTATAAGCATGAAAAGTGCTATAACACTTACATAACACAGTCTTGCTCTTATTTAGCTTTGTTTCCCGATAGTGACTGAATATTAAAAAAACACAGTGAAAATTTTTTACTATATTTAAAATTAAATTTTTGATTTAATGCATGACCCTTTCTTGAATTTTTTTTTTGTACATTTTTGGAAAAATTTACTTTTGCGGCAAAAATGTGTAGAATTGCACATTTACAAAATAGCGAAATAAATTATAATGTGGTACTGCTTAACAGCAATTCTAAATCCATTATCGTGAAATTATTGTGATATTTATGTATGTAGTGTAATTGCTTACAAATGGCAAAAGAACAATGTTATTAAATTATATTATGTAATTCGATATGCTATACATACATACACACATATTTCAAAAATAGTTCTAACAAGATTTTATCCAACTTTTTTTAATGTCCCGTGTTTACTTCTTATCTAACATTCAATTTCCATTTAAGATTGGTTTTTTATTCTTGTTTTTTTCTCTTTTTTCTTCATTTTTTTTATGTTAAATCGTTGTTGCTTTTATTGTTTTTCAATTGAATCTTAAAAATTTATTTTATTGCCTTATCAGCGTGTTTTTCCTCTTAAAAATGCTCTTTTTCTTCATTTTTCATTTTTTTTTTGTTTCTAGTTTTCTTTTTCTCTAAAAATCACAGAAAAGTAGACATAATGGAATTTCTTTAACGCTATCGAGAATGTTTAAACATACTTATTACAAAATGTAAACATGAATTGACTTTATGTGCGTATTTAGTATACATAAAATGTTTGGTATTAGAATCAGGTGTGTGTAACATTTTCAAAATTATATGGGCCAAATTGCAAAGAAAAAATTTTCCATTATGTTATATAGGTATGAGTGTCTGTCTTGAGAAATTTCTTGTCTTGTAAATTTTTGATATACCCTCTAAATCGAAAATCTATTAACAACGTTGCAAACACAATTTCGCATATTTTACAATGTGTTAGCGACCCATTTTCGCAATTCTTCGCAATTGGCTAGCAATTGGTCCCATAATTTCTTAACCCCGAAAGAATTTTGTATGCATTTATGCTTTCAATATGAAAAACATATGGTCTCGCAACACTATTTCAGAGACATTGTACTGAACATGAACGAAATTATGAAAAAATGACTTTGTATTATTGAGACAGCCCAAATGAATTTTTGTACATTTTCTCAAAGTGAAAATCTTTCGAAACATTTTCGATGTCATCAGATTAAAATGCAGAAATTTTTAGGAAAACGTGTTTGAAGATTGCAATAGAACTGATCCGCTATACCGAGTCCAATTCAATGTAATTTTAAAAAATTCCATAGCTCGCATAAAATAATTAACTCAAAATTTTGTTTACGGACCAGGTCTTAGGTTATAAATACCTATTATATGATCGCACATTTATGTACAAAACACTATAAGATAGCAAGAATGACTACACATTTCTGAGCATAAAACCGTAGTAGACCTTTTTTCTTTTATTTTTTTCTTTTATGTACACATGCAGGTATACATACATACGTATGTACATAATTACATAGTAAAATCCAGTCTTTTTCTTTTCATTTCACAATTAAAAAATTCGTGGTTCTCACATATTTTTTTTTTCTTTTCTGATTTTTTAACATGACTGTTTTGTTTGGTTTTTTCTATTTTGTTTATGGTTGATTTCTTCTTTCTCAAAACAAGTATTTACTTTGTATGTATGTTTGTACAAAAAAAAAAGAGTGTGGAAGAAGAAGAAAACATGGACTTTTTTTTTATATATGTACATATTTAAATATGCAAGACAACACGCTTACAAACTTGTATCTTTGAACTATGATCTGATTTTTTTTTTCCTTTATTTGACGCATTCTTGAAATAAGAAAGAATTACAAAAAAATGAAAAAAAAAAACAGAAAATATTTTTTTATCTTTAAACCACATTAAATTTAATATTTTTTCAATTAATTTTTCTGTCTGTCCTAACAATATCGTGACACATTACTAGAATTTAAATTTTTCGTTAACGATAACAGAGAACGATAAGAGTTCGCTTACAATTCGCTATGAAATTTTGAGAAATTTTTAGGCTAAATAATATTCTCAACAGTTGCATAACGTTAACACTAATTTGATAATTCAATAGTAACTATTGCATGTGTGCACTTTACGTACAATTGCCTTACATCTGTCAAAAAAAAAGACATTTTGAGCAATTTGTTGTTTAGTAGAAATTGTCCACGTGTCCAACTGTTATTTTATTTTTTGCTTTTTTCTTTATTTGAATTCCTATTTTGAGGTTTCGTTTTTTTTTTACTTTGTCATTTCTTATTTATGTTTTGTATCTAGATGGATACTGTACTTTAAGAACTAACAACCTTAACAAATCAAAAAAAAAAAAAAAATAAATCAAGTATAAAATAAATAAACAAATAAAAGTATAACAAAATGTTTTAAAACCAAATTAGTTTCTATTTTGTTTTTTTTTTTTTGTCTAAGATAAAATTAATTTACAAGTTTATCAAACAGAACAATAAAAAAACATATTACTTACGCGATAGTAATTTATTTTTCACAATTAATGATAATTTAATGTAAGTTTATCAAATATATAGATACTCACTTGTTGTAATGCATTTACGAACACTTGCATATTAAAAAGAGATAACAATAAAACACAAAAAAGTCCACCACTAAAAATTATTTTTAAAAACAGTAAATTTTATTAAATCAAAAATGTTTTGCATTCTCATTTATTATCATAGTGGCATAGCACAAAATCCGCAATTATAGTAAATACATGCCAACATATCCATATGTAAAAATATTTGCTTGTATATATAGTTGTTAAATGTGCAATAAAATAAAATAAAGCGATTAACTTAATTTTGCTCTTTTTTTTTCTAATATTTTTTTTTTGTTTTCATTATTTTTACTGTCTCTTCTCTGCACATTATCATTTTTATTATCGTTATTGTTATAAATGTAGTTTTTACTTTTTTCAATTATTCATTACTACAATAGTAGTATAACAATAATAATAATTATTTATTATGTGTATTTTTATTTAATTTCAGTTGGCTGATGCATATGAGGAAGTTGAAGAACAGCGACAAGTTGTTGGTCAATGGAAACGTAAAGCACAAAAAATGACAAATGAAATGAATGATCTTCGTATGTTACTCGAAGAACAAAACGGTCGCAATAATTTATTAGAGAAAAAACAGAGGAAATTCGATTCGGAATGTCAAGCATTACAGGTGAAAAAAAAAATTATATTTTTACTGTTGTTGTTGTTGATTTAATATTACTGTTACAAAATATTTTTATTATTATTATTTTTTTTTTTTTGTTTTAAAAGTGTTACAATTGTGTTAGTTTTAATTTTTTCAATGTTACGTGAACATTTTAAAGTAAAAAAAATAAGAAAGCCCTTATAAAAGGAAAACGAAAGAAAGTTTTTATTTTAGAAAAAATGAGTAAAATTTTTTTTTTTTTACTAGACAATAGTAAATTCTTTTTCATTTCTTAATTTATTTTCTTTAAGTTTTTATCGCGATTTAAATCTAATATTTTACGTAAATAATTTTAATATCTTCTCAAATATTTGTTTAGTTTTTTATTTTTGTTCTCAGTCTAAAAAAGTAAAAATAACAAAAAAGTGAAAAAATTAAAGCCTTTTACATTAAAAAAAATTTAATTTTATTCAAATTTTTTTCTCTAAATAATGTTTGAACAGGTGTCATAATAGTATTTTAAAGTATAAATAAAAATCAAGATAGCATTTTGTAAATATACCCGCCAACATACATACATTCACACATAATACAATAATAATATAGGTAGATAGTGTAAAAAATTAACGTAAAAATTTGATTTTCACAAAAAATTTAAAAAAATCAAAATAAAAAGTGAAATTCAGTTGCAACAAAAAAAAAAAAATCAAATTCATTTTCTTTTCTAATTAAAATGCTTAAAAGTCCAAGGGTATTTCACGTTTAATTCCAAATTTATGTGCTTAAACAAATACTATAAATAACACTGACTATTAAAAGAAAAAGTGAAAATTTATAATTTTCATACAAATTCATTTATTGATTTTCAGTGTTGGTTTAACTTTCCATAATTGCAAATCACGGTGCTACATAAGTGTTACATTAATTGTTAAATTGCAATAAACACCAATATTCTGTTAGTCGTATCACATGACGTGATAGGTTGTTCCTGAGGAATGTTGTAATTTTCTGAGCGAAATAAATTCACAAAATTCGAAATTCTATACAGAAAAACAAAATTCTTTTCAATAATATTCTCTCATTTCAAGTGATGAGACTAACAGAATATTGGTGATTATTTTGTTTATTTTTTGTTTACATTTTATAATATTAAACGAATAATAACGAATATTTAATTCGTATTTAGCCGATTGGCACACGATTTCTCATATATTTCTCATATAATGTGCATAGACATGTGTTTAAGGAAGTCAGGAAATTATAATTATTATTTCGTAATTTTTTTTTGAACCAAGGGTATTAGATAAAAATTTCTTTAATTATTTTATTGTTTCCAAATTTGTTATTATGAAAATTTCATTCTCAAATTAGAATGGAATATAAATTAGTGAGTTGAGTTTTTTATTGATAAAAAAAATTAATTTAATATCAATTCCAATTTCAAGACCTTTATTATTACGTTTACTTAAATGTGCTAATATGAAGTCTAAACCTTTATATTATGCTAACAAATGTGTAAAATTTTGGGATTAAATTTAAAATTGGAAAACCTATATATAAATTTGAACAAAATTAATACAATTGATGTAGAATTGAGTAATTGACTTCTATTTAAGTAAAAAATAATAAGAAACAAGTAGTCTTAAAGCACAAATATATTTGAAATTAAAATTAAAATTTCTTCAGAATAAAATTTGTCGAATAAGCGGTTCATCCATTTTATAATTTTCATTCATTTCTAATCAAAATTCCTAAAATAACAGAAAATAAAATTTCTTTTACATTTTTTATAATAAATAATATTATTATAAACAATAATATTAGCCACAATAATAAATTAATAATATTAAAACAATAAACAAATTTCTTTTGTTACTATAGTCGAATTGTTAGACTTCTTTTCCATTAAAACTTCTTTTCAAATTCAACTTTACCTTAGAGTGTATAAAATTCTTTTTTAAAATTTCTTTGAAAAGAAATTTTTATTTTCGTTAATCTCATTTCATTGATATTTTGCAACGGACTCTTAAAACAATAGAAACTAATAAATAAAAAAGAAGTATGGTAAACTAAAATAATCTGCGAATTTAACTGACCTACAAAACAAAAAATCGTTTTCATTTTACTCTAATTTATTCTTCACTTTTAGTAAAAAAATTTCGCTTCAAATCACCATTTAGTAATACAAATGAGACCATTTTAATTTTTTTTTTTTTGAATGAAAAAAAAACCAGAATAATTATAAAAATAATGAATTCATGTTTTTGTTTTTTGTACATTTAGTAAAGCACAAAAAAATTGTAATAAAGGTAAAAATTTTGTTTTTACTTGTGAGTACTCTAGTATTGCAGATAAAATTATGCTGATCAAATACTCGTATATGAAATTTTGCTTTGAATATAAAATACGATCTTAGAATACAAAATATTGAATTGTCCAATATCACAGTCCAGTTAAAGTTTCCAATTATTTTGAATTTTAATAATGATGTAATAAAGTCACTGTGTAGTCGCACGCATACTGATGAAATATCAAAACACTTTCTTTTAGGCAAGATATTTTTTTTTCGCTTTCTAATTTTTATATGGAAGGGCACGTATCTATATGTTCCTTAAATAGAATTGATAAATTTCAATTGGAATAAATTTGCAAGTTTTCATAAATTTATTTTTATAAAATAAATAAGAGAAGTTTTTATAAAATTATTTGAGTATATAAAATTAACATTGCAACTCAACTGTAAGCATATTGAGCTTCTTTCGCAAAAATATTCCTATAATAATATTAGCCTTATTTATTTTATAGCAAATTTCTTAACTCGCCCAAAATTGTTATGACGATTCATTCATATAAGAATTAACAGCTTTAACTCTTTATTTCATTGATAGACGCATAGAAATTTTAATCCTAGATTTCTAAATTTGTTAATCCTAAAATTCAATATTACCAAACAGAACAAAATAACAAACAGGAATTATATTCAGGCAGAACAAGAACATTTTAATGCATAAATGCGTTACTTCACATTTTCGTTACTTCTTGCTTCATGTCTTTTCTTCACGCTATTTGCATTACACGCAAAAGATAACTGAAAATTATAAGATTCAAGTATTCAACTATATAAATATTCTGAAATAGAATTAAATATTCTGATAATTGTTACAGATAAAGTGCGTTGACACATCATATTTGTTTTTATCATTTAAAAGTTTTTTAATAATTTATTAGAATTTGTTTATTTAGGGAGTACTTTGGGTGTTTGCAGATAACAAGTCTTCTTTCTACAGCTAAATCTGCTGCAATTTCATTGAACTACAAGATCAACATTTAGAACTACAAAATCAACACATCTACAAAATAGAAAAATATTTTAAAAATTTTAAACTTGTTTGTTCTAAATGATTTTTTAAGCCGACAAGATTCAAAAATAATTTTAGTATAAAATTTACCAACGAGGGTACAAATTTTGAAGAAAAGCTCCCATGAACAGTTAACCGACATTTTCGAACTGAACTTTAGGGATCATATTCTAAAATAACCCTTTGTTTTATTTTGAATTGGTTTCATTGAATGAAAATTTCACATATCCATAATCTTTACAATAAATCGGGTACTACACTTTGGTTTCTAATAAAAATACAAATAAAGCAAACGAAATGTCAACATTTTTAGAAATTTTATTTCTGAACGCACAATACATATACATACATATATATGTACTAAGCATACTGCCATGAAATCAATAATTTTTATAGGTACAAAAATAGATAAAAAAAAATTAACAAATTCAGTATGAGTATTATTGAAAAAATAGTATGTACAGAGCTAGATAACAGAAATAGTAGAGAAAATTCCATTTTAAGTTAAAAATTTTCAAAAATTTTTATTAGATTTTGTTTTAATTAGTTTTCTAAATCCTTTTCAAATACACACTTTCCAATTTTTAGCATTTCGAATAATATTCTAGTAAATTTAACACAAAATATTTGTAAATTTACAAATTAATTTAAAACTTTTATTCTTATATTGTTTTCTAGGATGCTGCTAGACAAGAAAGGCAGGCAAAAGATCGTCTTTCAAGAGAAAAGGACGTACTTATTGCTGAAAAATTCACACTTGAACAAAATTTAGCGGTAAGTATTCTTTTAGCAAATTACAAGTACTCCATTTTTAAAAAAAAAACTTAATAAATTTTCTTTCTATTATTAAATATATTTATAGGATACTCGCCTTGAGCTCGAACTTAAGGAAGAGAAATTAATCGCTTTACAACGAGAACTCGAAGAAATGACATTCAGTGGTGGAACTGAAGAAGAAGTTGCTCAATTACGACGTTCTAAAATGGATTTAGAACGTCGTCTTAAAGAGCAAGAAGAAGAATTAGATGAAATGGCCGGCCAAGTGCAATTATTAGAACAGGCAAAATTAAGATTAGAAATGACAATGGAAACAATGAGAAAAGAAGCACGTCGTGAAGCTCAACAACGCGATGATGAATTAGAAGAAGCTCGTGGCAGTGCTTATAAGAAAATTAAAGGTAAAATATATTAAAAATGCAATTCATAGCATATAAAAATATTTCAATTTTTTTTTATTTTATTTTTTTTCTCCCTTAAAGCTCTTGAATGTCAACTTGAAACTGAACATGAAGAAAGAACATTATTATTACGTGAAAAACATGAATTAGAAAGACGTTTACAATTTGCTGAAGATCAAGATCGACATGATCGTCAAGCTGAAGAAGCAATGAATCAAAAATTAAAACGTGAACTTAAAAAATATAAAGCTTTATTAAAAGATGCTCATGCTCAATTAGAAAGACTTAAAGCTGATTCACCTGGTAAAGCAATAATACGACAATTACGTAATCAATTGGAAGATGCAGAAGCAGCCCGAACATTAGCTGTTAAAGCAAGACATACTGCTGAATCTGAATTACAAGATATTCAAACATTATTAGATGAAGCACAACGTGCAAAACAGGATGCCGAAGATAAAGCTACAATTGCAAATCGTGATCGTACAGAATTGCAAGCACAAATTGAAGAAAATGAAGAAGAAATGGCTGAATTAATGAAAAAATATAGTGCTGCAGTTAAACAATTAAATAATGAACAAACAGCAATGTCAGAATATGAAATAAAAATATCTGAATTAGAAGGAGAAAGAAATACTTTAAAAGAACAGGTGGCTGAATTAACAACTCGTTTAGAAAATGTTGAAAATATGAGTGACCCAACAGCGGCAGTGCAATCAAAGCGGTAAATGTTACTTATTTTAGAATTTTTAACTAACATCTTATTATTATTTTTTTCTTAATTTTTCTTTTAGACTGGAATTAAGAACCAAAGAATTAGAATCACGTTTAGAATTAGAACAGGCAACAAAAGCTCGTTTAGAAATTCAAGCAAATCGCCATAAAGATGCATTAGAAAAAATTCAAAATGATTTATCACAGTCAAGAATGAGAGAAATGGCTGCGCAAGATAATGTCAAAAAAGCTCAAAAATCACTTAGAGAATTACGTGAAGAATTCCATACGATATCAAATCGCGAACAGGATAGTGCCAGTAAACGTAAAGACTTAGAGAAAAAAATTGAAACATTAGAAGCTGAATGTTTATCATTAAGAAATGATTTACGTTTGGCATTGCAAAGGATAGCCGATTTACAACAAGCAATGGAAGAAGGAGATGATGATGTCACAGAAAGGTAAACAATACAAAATAAATCTTTATGTGCAGATCTGATAATGTTGACTCTTAATTTTATTAATAAAAAATTTACAAATTATTTTTTTTCTTATTTAGCGAAAGCGACTCTTCTGATGTATCTGTTAGCGATTTAGATGATAAAATTAAAGTTAACCATAGTAAAAAATCTTCAATTGTAAATGGTGTTAATGAAACAAAAGTAGTATTAAAAGAAAAAAGTGACAGTAATAGTCCCAAGTTAGTATTACAGCTATATTACACATAACATAAATATTAATTCAAATTATAAATATAAAGAAACTAATAAATAAATTCCCATTTTGCTTTTCTTTTTAGAATTACGGTTACATCACCATCAACAGCAACGGTTAACAAAGCATTAAATGGAGATTCATCTTTTGCATAATTTCCGATGTGAATCAGAACAAAATCAAGACTTTATAAGTTTTGAAAATATTAAAATAAAAAAAAAAATTAATAATTATTGAATTTAAATTCTATATGAGCCAAGAAGTTTAATGTAATAATATACTTTTTTTTTTTTTACTTAAATGAACAATAAAATACAAATAAAATTTAAAAAAACAAAAAAAAAAAAAGTAAGTTAATATTTATTTGAAAATCACCTCATAGTAGTTACGTTAAATATAATATAATCTTTTAAAAATAAGAGAATAAACTTAAAAAAGAAATTTAAAAATTGCAAAAAAATTAATAATAATAATAATAATAATAATAATAATGTGAATTACATGGAAAAAGCAATTAATTAATAATTAAAATAATTGAATTACACACATATTTTAATTTATGCCTACATGTATAACAGTTTAAAATTATCTGCCGTCTATTTGAATTTTTTAAGTTTACAAATTGATATTTTTTATTTTCTTTGTTGCGATTTCTATTATTATATATTATATTTTTATTTTTATTGTAAATTTTTAATTGTTTATTTTATTATTTTATTATAATATATTGTAGTTTGATATTTAAAATCAAATAAAAACAAAATTATAATGTTAATTTAGGCTTTATATAATTATAAACAAATATATATATATATGTATATATATATACAAATATATATATATAATATATATTTTGTTTTCATCCTATCCTAAGAGAATTATGAATGCCACAAAGTTCACTAAATAGAATTTTTTTTTATTGAATTTACTTAATTATTATAATATAAAATTGAATAGAATTTCAAAGTAAATGAAATATTTTTTGAAATATGATAATAGTACTTATATTTTAAACAGCATTTTTTAATTAATCTAAAATAATTCAAAATAATTAAGCTAAAAACTTTGCTTTTACTTTTTTTTTCCTATCGAATAAATTATGTGGCATTCATTATTTTCTAATGGTTGAATTTTTTTTTATATTAAAGTTGTTTAAAAAAAAAATACTTTGTTTTTCTTAGCTAAATTAAACTAGATAAATAAATTATATTATATGAATATTATTAAAAAAAAACAAAACAAAACAACAAACTAAACTTATAAAAAATAATATGAATTTTCTAACAAAAACCATTTTGAGTTTACCATTATTTTTTTTTTTTAGCATTTGCAGAATAGCAAAATTAATTGAAAATTTTAAACATTAATTTTACTTTCTTGTATTATACTTACTTGCAGTAATATTATATAAAGCTAAATTTGACATGTTTTATAATCTTTTTTTTTTTCTTGTATAACCAATTTCTCTTTTAAAATTTCTAAATTCTTTCCTTATTCTAACTATTTTTTTTATAGCAATTAATAAAAGCACATGTTGTATTCAAATAAAAGAATAATTTTTTTTTTTTTTTGTATATAAAAGATTTTTGGCAATTTAATCAAATCAAATTCAAATAAAATTTAATTTTGATATTTTTCCCATGTCTGAAATGATTTTATTTTATTAGTTTTAAAAAAAAAATAAGAAATAGAATTTTTAAGCTTTTTAACTAAAATTTTCTTAAAAAATTATTTTATACTATCCTTCATAAATTATTAAAATAAAATGAAATTTATTCAATTGTACCTGATTGAATCCTTTCATATTTAATTTTCAAATATAGTTTATATAATTTTAAATTTTCCACAACATTATAAACGCTTTAAATCCTATTTTTTATTATTTAATATTACTGTAATTGATATTATTTAAAAAAAAAAATAAAATATCAAACCATAATGCGTTAAACAAAAAAGCAAATTAATGTATTAGAAAACAATTTTAAATTTTTGTATATTAAAAAACATTAAAATTCCTAATTGAAATCAAAAACAAAAAAAAAAAATTTGAATAAAATACTTATGAAAACATTCTTTAAAAACAAAATTATTAAAATAATTTTTGATAAAAAAATAAATTCATAAAAAAAAATGTTCATTCATTTGTATCCTTTGTACGTTTTCACGTCTTAAATTTAATCCTTAAAAATTATTGAATAAACCCTAAGTAAACATTATGTAAGAACTATTTCGAAAAATAATATAAAACTTATTTCTTTTTTTGTTTTTTATAAAAATATTGTAGAACTTATATAATTATCGATGTTTAACCTAAAATATTATTCAATCATAAAATATAAAAACATAATATAATATTATTAAATACTATTTATACATAATACATATAACACAATAAATTCGATATTATAAAAAAATCAAAAAAAAAAAAACTTTTTAAAAACCCTATATTTATCCTATTAACATCCTTAGAAAATTAAAAAAATAATTAATTAAATTACTTTTTTAAAACTTAATAACCATAAAAAAAATTTTTTGTATTAGATAAATTAGATAAAATTCTGCACTTATTTATTATAAAAATCAAATAATATAAAGAAAAATAATTTTATAATAATTAAAAAAAAAAAATAAAAATAAAAAACATTTTTACAATAAAATAAAATAAAAAATAAATAAATAAAAAGGTAAAACTTGAAAAATTAAAAACACCATTATACTACAATAATATTAATAATTTATATATACTTATATAAGTTAATATTTCTACCATTCATTTATACATATGGTAGTTTTAACAAGGAATATTATACATGGATATATATGTATATATATATATATATATATATATATATATATATATATTGCATATATATACATATAATAATATATAAATAATCAAAATTTTTTGAACAAATTTTACTAATATATTGGCTACAAAATATTGCATAGAAATATATACAATAATATATATATATATAGATATATATATATTACACCTAAATATATATATTTGCCTATATATATATATCAGATATTATACAAAATAACATATTATATATATATATATAATATATACGTTTTATTCAAAATTAAAGAAAAATAATAAAGTGTAATTGTTATTTAATTTTAAATGAACGCATTTTTAATTAATTTTTAGAGTTTTCCAAAAAAAAAAAAAAAACAAAACAAAAATATAATGCAGTATAGAATAATGTAATAAAAATTGAAATAAATAAAAGTATTAATATATAGAATTAAAAGAATAAATTATATACTAAATACCTATAAATAATTGAAACCATAAAAGATGTTGGTCATCTGTATAAAATTTTTATCGAAAATTTGATTCTTACAACCAGGCTGAACACACTATTTTTGTGATTGATTTAAATGAAATAAAAAAACAAACAGTTTCACTTAGCCGAACGCAAACTAAGTTTCTCTGACATTCAAATTAAAGTAATTAAGTTAGTTTTCTTGACAGTCTTAAAATTGCAAGTATGCAATTGAGTCATTAATCACTTTGTATGTACTTTCTTTCTTAAAAAATTTTATAAGCTTTCTTAAATCTTCTTTTATCTAACTTTATTTAAATTTTCTGCAAATAAAATTGAGATTTTCTACATATAAAATATTCTATAAATAATGACAAAATTAATTTTTGGATTTTATTAGCTTGTAATGTTGTTTCTCTAATATATCTCACTTTAACCAAACTTATCATCAAATTCTATTGAGCAAAAAATTAAAATATTAATTTAAAGAGTGCTTGATAAATTCAAAACAAAACCCCATCATAAACTACGTACAGTCCCCGTCATAAACTTTATTCTACTGTTGCAGAGTAGAAGCGCACTTAATTTAAAAATTGTTCACTTGCAGCACAATAGGAAAGATTAACACCTTATTTATAACTAGTGAAGTAATTAAATTGAAACTCTTACTAATTTATATTTCGTATTTAATTTATTTTTATTTTTAATATCTTACTTAATAACTTTTTAATGAAAAATTGCATATTTCACCTTAATAGATTACAAGCATTTTTTAACATTTTTTTTTTTTTGTATTTCCTTTTTACCTTTGGTTTGCTACTAAGTGGGCATAATTTTTAAATGTAGGTTATTTTTTTTTTTTTCCATTTGATCAGCTTTGCATGTACTTCTTAATTTAATACTTAAATATTTTAATGATAAGTTTTCATTTATTTACTTTTTTCTTTATTTTATTTTCATTTGGATGTTTTTTTATATTTTATTTTTAATTTCTTAAATGAATTTATTTCACAGTTTTACAATTATCAGCTTGTTGAAAATAGTAATTTACAAATCAGCAAAATTGAATTGTAAATCAAAAGCAATTCAAATTTGTTGAAATTGGTTTTGGTTGACGATGAATTAAAATTGCTTCTGCCTCTTGATGCTGATAGCCCTTAAAAAAATTTCAAAAATTTTTGCATTAAATTCTTTTAAATAATTTTATTTATTTGCAGTATTTACCACCAATAATGTTAGAATGCTCATCATGAGAAGAGGATGCACCCGGATGTAGTTTAATTTCTACAAATAAAATAAGACAAAATTAAAAAATCGTATAAAATATTAAAATTTTTAAAATATGCCTAAAGTTTCAAAGTAGGTTTACAGTGAAATCTTTTTGGTGTATGAGTTTAATAAAAAAGGACTATAAATTTGAATTGTTATATAAGACAAATACATTTATTGTTGTATCAAATCAGGAAAATGTTGTTTTAAATTTGTTTATTGATTAACATTTTTAAAGTTAGAGAAAAGCGCTGTGGTTTGTGATAAGGACAGCTGAATTCTAATATTATTTGAAATAAAAAACTTAGATTTTGTTTGAAAATTTCAAACTGTTCAAACTATTAAATTTACCAGGGAGTTTTCTAATTTAAAAAAATTGTTCTTTTGCTATCAAATTTTGTTACCCAATCTTAATAATCAAAAAAATAAAGTCAGATTAAGGTACCTAATCAATTCCAAAACCCAAGTTGCTTGGGTTGGACTTAAAAACTTAAAAACTAAAAATAAAATAAATAAAATTAAAGTTTCATAGTTATAGTACCATATAATCTTAAAGTTCCTTCAGCTCGACCAAGTGAATTTGTGCTGACACAGTGATAAGTTCCGACATCGGCAGCTGAAAATGATCTAACAACTAATAACATCACACCTTTATATCCATCTCTCTGTTCGGAAATTCCATACTTTGGTCTAAAATTACATATATATATAGCAAAATTAATATTTAAACAAGAAACATATTATATAATTTATAACATACCCATCAAGTAACATTTCAGGACGTGGCTGACTTGGTTCTAAACCGGTATTTCCTATACCACCATATTGAGTAACAGTTGATATTCTACCTCCTTTTAACCAATATGAAACTGGTGCTGGTGATGCTTCAACTTGACATTCTAATTGAACATCTGAACCGAGTGGTGCTCCCAATAATTGACTGGCCGCATGTACCATAGGAGCAACTACAAAAACAAAAACAAATTTATATTTTAATTTAATTACGAAATTTTCTTTTTGAATTATATGTAGAATAATTTTTGTTAATTATTTACAATGAACACTTAATGATACACGTTTAGATTGAGCAGGTGGTACATCATTTGAAGCAATACATAAATATGCTCCCATTTGTCGTCGTTCTAATCTTGAAAGTCTTAACGATGATCCATTATAAGAATCGACTATAAAGAATATAAGAAATTCATGTTAAAAAGTTCATATTATGCAAACTAATATTACAAAATATAAAAAAATCTCTACCTTTCATCAATTCCCGGGTTCCGGGTTTCCTAATTAAAATAACATCGTTGTCTTCACGTCTCCAAGTAATTCTTGGTAATGGATTTCCAGTTGCTTTACATGTTAATGTGGCATCTTCACCTTCTTGTACAGCTAAATCAGCTGAAGATTCCTCATTTACAATATCCGGGGGAACTAAAATTTTAATCATTTTAAATTTATTATTTTAAAATAAATTTTTAGAAAAATTTAATCTAAAAATGATGAATCTTTATATGCACATTAAGATTTTAATTATGTACCATGCCTTTATAAAATTTTTACCATTGATTTGTCTTTTATGTAGTGTATAAAATTTTGTGTAATTTATTTTTATTTTTTTGTGTATTTTGTATGCAGTAATTATATTGTGTTGTTAAAGTGTGATTGTTAACAATCGACATGCCAACGATGTATTGTGTTACAAAAATTTGATGACAATCATCTTACGTCTATAAAAATTTTCAAATAAAATTAAAATATTACTTTCGAACAAAAATTTTCGTATAAATTAAATAAAAAATAAATTGTTAAAAATACTTTAATGCTAATTATGCAAAATATCATGCAAGTAAAGTAATAAAATGTCAAAATAGTAAATATTTAAGTACCAAGCACAAAATTTAAGGGTCTCTCTCATAAGCTTAATACCAGTGAATTTTATAGGAAATCCAATGTCGTCCAGTTAAATAATGAGTTCAGTATTAAAAACTAACTCTAACTCATATTTAATTTTTTGTATCGAAATGAAAAAATGCTAAACTTAGAGAGATGTCAACCATGCTAATTTGTAGGCGCGTACAGTTCAATGTTATATATGGCAATTCCGTCAGATTTCTCACAAAAAATTCAATGAAAGTATGATGTGCCGAAATTTTTTTAAAACTAAAGAGAATTTTATTTAGGTAGCTTTTTTAAAATACAGGTACAATGATGCCATTGAGTGTTCGGTAATAAATATATAATTCGGAAATGCTGGGAAATGTGGCAGCTTAAGAAAATTCGACAACCCTAACTATATTGATTCTTAAATCAAACGCCTGTTGGCGTTTTGTAAAACTGGTAAAAAAGCTAACAATGATATACGTATTTAATTCCTAAAATTATTTTATTTGATTGCGAAATTAAATGCAATAATTAAAAATTAAATATATTCTCTTAAAAGGACAACTTCAATTAATTAAAAAAAAAAGGAAAATTTAACCAAATACCCAAGTGTTTAGTAACTTTTAGTAATTATAAAACAGTTGCAAAATAATAACCATGCCACAAAGAAAAACTTAATATAATTATAATTATAACTTGTATGTATGTTTAAATCAAAGCAACAACAAATCAAATTAAGTAACAATAAAAAAAAAAAAAACAGATAATTCTCAATTTTTATGCATTTATATTTACCTTGAACATCTATACAACCAACTTGTTTCTTCATAGGACTTGTATTTATTTGACACATATAGCAACCTCTATCAGTTTCTCTTAATTTACTTATTCTTAGTTTCCATGTATGCATATCCTCGAAAACAACACTAATACGAGAATTATGTGTAACAACTCTACCTTGCAAAGCTAGAACAGTTTGATCTGAGGCCCTTAGCCAACCAACCTAAAACAAATTAAATATTATGATTAGTAATTAGAAAAATTATTAAATTTATATAATTATATAGGTATACTTTATATTTTCCAAGATTTCGTACGGAACATGCAAGAATTGCTTCTCGACCAGCAGGATACGTAACGTTATTAATTGATCCTAAAAATTCCGGTTCTGATTCTAGGTTTTGTTGATTTTCTGTAAAAAAAAACCAAGAAATCTATTTATAATTTTTGTATTTTGTTTATTTAGAAAAGTGATTGGCTTCCAAATTTTTAAATGTTCATTGCTGCTATGAATGAAACAATATTCATTTGTCGCTATCCTCATCGCTATATGCTTGATCACAAAAATGTAATGTCGCATTTTGAGGAAATAACATCACAATCATACCAGGATTATGATTGTATTAATGCAATCAAAAGCGATTGAGCTCTAAAGTTAGAGCTCTATCAATTCGAGAATAACATTATTATTCAATTACAATTGATTAGGACTACCTATTATGTCGTCCTAAATTTATGCAATATCACATTACAGAGAAAAATTTTTAGCCAGAAGCAATAAATTTTACTTTCAATGAGATAAAAGGTCTTACGTTCAATGATAATTTTAGTTGTATTTAAGATATTTTATAAAAGATTTCATTAAATAACTTTAAAGTTTTTAAATATCCCTTACATATATTAAAAGAATATTATGCCAATTAAATAGAATCAGATTTTTTATGTGAAGCACAAGTTATATAAGATCGTTTAATCGAAATATTTTCTAATTTTTCCAATAATAAGTAGAAAACATTTGATAACCCCAGAATAATTTGAAAATAACAGAAGAGTTATTTAGAAAATTTTCTAATACAAGTGTTTAATACTAATTGTTCTCTCATACTGTCTCATACTGTCTCTCATACTGAATTACTGTCATGAAAGTAAAATTATTTTTTATAACATTTAAAAAACTGCATGTGAACGCAATTTCGCCGAGAATTTTATTTCAGTCATAATATTGCTAAAAAAAATTATTTTCACTTACCTATATTAAATTGTGTGGAAGTTTGATGACATTCCGAAACCAAAAACATTAACGTAAAGTAAATAACTTGATTTTTTCTCATTATCATCGATCTTTATACTAAATTTAAAAAATTGAGCATAAAGATTTTTTTATATATCGATTTCAAATTTCCAACCGAATTCCTTATTGCATTAATAGATATAATAAAATTCCTTTGAAACATTTGTTTGGTCCGAAATATTTATTCAATTCCCTAAAAAATAAATAAATTAAAATTAAATTTATAAATTTAACAATAATGCATTTAAAAAATCTTAAAATAAACAAGAATTTCAAAAACAAAAAGTGGTGATGATTGTTAAATAACAAATAAAAAAAATTTTTTGAAAAAGTTTAAAGGTCGTGTCAATATAAGTGCCTTAATTGATTTCTGTATACTATATATAGTGGTTTGTTGTTGTAATGTTGTTCTGTGGTTGTTTTGCAAAGCATGATATGTAGCTGCATTTTTAATTTGTAGAGTGATTAGTGAGTAATTGTTTCTGTATCAGACTAAATATGTCTTGCAAAATGCTTTTAAAAAGTTAAACGAACATTTATTAGAATTAAGAAAATTGTAAAATTTCGAAATAAGTGTGTAATATATGCATTAATGAACTCGGTTTTAATTTCTAGATAATAGTTTTGCCAACATACCGAACAAAGTACATTTTGTGCAATTTAATTTAGACATACTCGTGTGTAAATACTGTAGTAGGTCAAAAATTGGACGCTTTTGAGATTGTCAATTAGATGCTACGCGTCTATAAAATTCTTTATAATTAGAAATTTAACAAATTTATAAAAAAAAATTAATTTAAAGTGCGCTCCAATTAGAATTTCATATATATTTGTAACGAGTACAGAAATTGCATTTAATTTTTTAAATAAAAAAAAATTTTCTCTTAATTTACTTTCTCTTAATTTACAATCGTTTTTAGAAGAACTTTTAATGTATAGGTTTGGGACATTCGCATTTATAATGCATATATCACGTTAGGATTCTCATATATATATATGTAAGTTAATATCAAGAATCCCATTACCATATTATTAAAAAATTTTAAATATTTTAAAATTCCTTTCTCAAGGTTAAAAATGAAAGAAAATTCCTTAAATCTTTTTAACTCATACCAAATTCATCTTCTTTTAAATAAAATTGGCGATGTAAACAACATTTTTTTTTTAAATAATATAAATTAAACAAAAGCCTGTGACAACACAAAAAAAAAATATGAAAATCACATTTTTCACAATTCCCATCGCTTATATTTAAAAGCATATTGCAACAAGGATTTGTTTAATTTTACCAAATACACATATGATTTAAGTAAAATTTAAAAATACAATATATATTTGCTATTTAGACCTGTAGCAAAGTGCATTTTACGAGAAAACCAAAAATTTGCAAATGCTAAAATATTTTGAGTCACCCTTTTTTATGTCACCAATTCTACGCGAAGATATAATTTTTCTCTTTTGCAAAAGAGAAAGGAAGAGAAATATCGCATGCGATATTTCTGTTGCTGCATGCGATATTAAGTATGGTTTATTGGTAATATTGAAATTATTAAATCATTTAATTTTTTTAATTAAAATTATCATATAATAATAATTGACTTAATAATGTTTATTCAAAAAAGTCAAACGAGAATTAATTAATTTATTTATCACAAAATTCAATGTTAATCTGAAATCTTTTTACTTTATACTAAATAATTTTTTACTTTTCTATGCTAATTAATTAATTGTAAAATACTTCAATTTTCTAAATAATTTTTAACTCTTCTACTATCTATAACATGAATTTTAATTTTTGACCATCATTGTAGTTTTAGGAAATTAGAATAATTATGAAATTATGTTCAAAATAAAACTCATAACGCATTAAACAAACTCAGAAAATTGAGAGAAGTAATTTTAATTTTGACATTTTAATGATAATGAGTTTTTTGTTTATAATTACAAAATCATTCTCTTGTTTATGCTCAACAAGTCAAGTTGTCAGCTTAAGCAGTGTTCAATTATTTTGTACTAATGTAATTAAAGTTAAAAACAGTATGATTTATAGTTTAATATCTAAAACTGTAACAATGTAATTTGTGTTGATCCGGAAGGAATATCAATCAGGAAAAATATTAAACGAAAGAGTAATCCAAAACTACTCAACAATAATATTAATTGAAATTTATTGAAGTCTTTAATATATTGGAATCTTAATAATCGTTTTTTTTTTTACTAAATTACATTTAAGCTTCCTAAAATTAATTTCCAAATACTTATTCCATTAAGTGAGAAAACATAATACGCAATATTAAATCTTCAGTCCGTATAACTTAACAATTTCCTAAACTTTATATATGTAATAGTTTCTACATAATATTTTGTTATTTCTATTTTTTTTAGCACATACATGTGTATATTATAAAAATGAAATTTAAAAATTGATCTAAAAGTCTGAATATATCGTATAAATGCTAGGAATTAAAATCGAAAATTCAAAGAATTTAAATCAATTGAGCGAAAAAGTTTTTCTAATTGATTCTTAATTTTGAACAGATTTACTCAATATATCTATCTATAGGATATAAATATATTCTACCCTTCATATATATTTTGTAACAAATACAATATAAATCAATTTTATTTTTAAAAGAAATCTCTAAAGTGATAACATTTCTCATAAAATTATTTTGTCACATTTATAAGTCATTATATACAGTCGAACACGCTTATGCATATACCCTTTCGGGCATAATTTTTTGAGCATGTTGTGCAATTATCAATTTTCAATTTGCAATATTAAATTTTTATTTTAACTATTTGTAATAGAAATGAAAATTAGAATATATTTTGGATTTGCTATTATAGTATTGAACATAAATTAATAATTCCTAAATTTTGCGCCAGATGGCTCATTAACCATACTTTTATTAATAATGTCAAGATATTTTGTATTTATCAGTGGAAATCTTTGTGCTGATGATACAAAGCAAAAATTTTTTTGTTTATAAACTTTTTGTATGAAAAACTGACAAAATTATCATTTGTGCTTATAAAAGTTATTGGTGTTATTGAGCAAATAGCTGCAGTTAAGTGTTATATATGAGTAAAATAATATATACAATATACATAGAGGAAATTTACTTATATGCCTATGTTGATAATATAAGCATGTTCGACTGTACATATGTATATATTTTTAAATGAATCATATACATACATATTATATATAGATTACATACAATTGAAAGAACTTTGAACTTTAAAAATGAAAAATAAGAAATTATATCCTTAAAATATTGACAAGGTCACATCAACAATTGACTAATATATGTTTTTTTTTTCCTTAAAAATTCCATAAAAATTCATTTAAAAATTTGAGTGTAGGCGCAATATTTTATACCAAGGCACATGTACACCTTTTTTTTTTTGTTAAAAATTTAAAGAAAAAAATTCTTATTTTTAATAGGTGAAAAAAAAAATTCTTCTAAAAAAGTTCAAAATATCATTTTGAATTAGTTAAAGTTGTATGACACAATTTCTTCTTTGATATATCAGTATATATTGTATAACAATTAATAACATATATGTTATGTATAAAAGGATAGAACAACAAATTGTATGTATACAAGTTTAAAGAAAAGTTTACGAATTAATGTTTGAACAAGTTTTTTGAACTCATAGGTACTTTTTTCAACTCATAGGCCAACTGTATACTAGTTTTAAAAACAATAAACTTTTGAATCATATGTATAGTATATATACAATAAATTAATTAATGTTTAAAAATGTATTTAAATGTATTCGTAAATATATAAACAGTCGAATTTCTATTGGAACGAATAATCAATTTATGAAAGCAATTTGTTTAGGAGTTCTTAATCTGTAATACATGAGTTTTATATGGAATTTTTGCGTTTTATATGGAATTTTGGGTGTTAATTACATGTATATACTCATATACATATATTATAGTATATATATATGGATATATATATATATATATATATATATATACATATATATCATATATATATATATATATATATATATACATATATATCATATATATATCAAACATATATATATATATACATATATATACCATATATATATCAAACATATATATATATATGTTATATATATATGGTATATATATCATATATATATCAAACATATATATATACATATATATATGATATATATATCAATATAACATATATATATCATATATATATATCAAATACAATAAATTTCTTTTAATATATATATGATATATATATCAATATAACATATATATATCATATATATATATCAAATACAATAAATTTCTTTTAAGTGACAAATGTTTCATTTTGTTTCAAAAGAAAACACACCTACAACTATAATTATACATTAAACATGAATATAGATAGTATAGGAAAAGATCCTTTTTATATATATATATATATGTGTATATATTTATTTCACACATCATTCAAACATTTCAACGTACACAATTTTATTCGAACCTACACAAAATTAAATTTGGTAAATGAAAAATTGTCATTCAATTGAAAATTTTTTTTTATTAAAATTTAAAATTTTAAAATTTTTAATATACAAAATCACTATATTTATATACGTACATATACTGTGTCTGTATATACATACATATTTCTATTATTAATTGTATATATCCAAATAATAATTGTGTTCCAATATATATGAAGAAAAATTTTAATTTCAATATTAAACAAAATAATTTTTTAAAAATTTTCTGATTGAATTTTCTCATTCAAAAACAAACACATACAGCCCCGATGAAAAGAAAAGCCTTAATATCTTTTAAGCTTCATTTTTTTGTAAGTATAAATTTTCAATTTAATTTCAAATTCATAAAAAAAAAAGAAATAGTTTTTCCTTTACCTTTAATATTTTTATTTTTTCTGTTTCTATATACCCTCCCACATATAACACAAAATTTTTTTTTTTTTGGTATTTGGACCAAAAATAATTTTCTTTAATTTTAAAATCGTAAAAAGGAAACACTATACTTTTAAATTTCTTTTTAATAAAATAAAATTTAAATAAAAATTCAAAATAAATTTATTGAAAATTGAGATTTTATTGATCCCTTAATCAATTATTTAAGGAGAAAATATGAAAAAAATTTTATACATGTGAATTACAAAAAAAAAAAAAAAAATTTTTTTTATTTTCTTACACATG